CGTGACATGTTCGTACGAACCCTTTGTACGAACAAAAGTAAGAGAAATTTAGGATAAGAATACGAACATGTTCTTGCATGAGGCCCATTGTATTTTCCTTTGGGTATTAAAAAAAGTGGCGATTTGATTTTTGTTTTAAAAAAAATGAAAATGAAAATACAAAGCGTTTCTCATTCTTAGTGTCAAAAAGGGATGAGCAAAATTTAAAAAAATGGCTTCATTTTCTGTTTCAGATAAAAAAGAAAATTACTTTAAAACAAAAAAAAATGCTTGTTCATATTCTGACAGCTCGTGCCAATTACTGTATTCCCCAAAAAACCTGTTCCCACACTTCTTTCTATAGGAAGAAACTTGTGGCAGCAGAAACTGAATTTAAATAGCTCAGGCTGAATCTTTATGTACATGATTCGGAATTGAACGCATTAATTTCAGTTTCAGTGAATTGAAACTGAATTTAAAAATTTGAATCTGAATTAATTTGCTTTGGAACTGTATTTTGTTCTATTAAAATTTCAGTTTGACTACTTTCACTTTCAGTTCTTCAATTCACTTTCAGTGCCAATTTTCAGAATTTGCATCACGCAGCCGGTAGGGATTTAGATAAGATTTACAAACTTGTTTTAGAGCTGTTTTTCCTTTTTGTACTCATAAGGCTCTAGGTACAGATTCCAAAACAGTTGTTTGTTTACATTGTACCCCCATTAATGATTTAGAGGTCTTTAAAGGCTGAAACTTAGGAAGCAAGTGTTCCATTGACTTCCATTATACCATAAAAAAGTGCAGAGCTCTGTAGGCATTGTGCACGTCACAATTTCACAATTTTTCAAACCAAAGAAGAAAACAAACTAGATAGATTTTGCATGAAAATGAGCAAAAAATAAAAAATTAAATCTCCATAAAAACCTGACCCACACACTCCCAGGATCGGGCGATGCATTTATCAAAGTGCCTACATCCGGGTCCTTGACAAAGCCAGAGTACCGTATTTTTCGGACTATAAACCGCGACTGTTTTCCTGAACTTTGAACCATGCGGCTTATAATCCAGTGCGGTTTATACGTGGATTTTTTTCTTCAGCATCAGGGGGCTCTTATGCTGCATTTGCTTCAACCACTCACTTCAAAAAAAGAAAGGAAAAAAAAGAAGAAAAAAGCGATCGCTTCCAGAGCCGACTGTTGTACCAGAAAGCAGCGATTTAAAGAAAGTCAATGGCCAAAAACTCATAAAAGGGGATAAAACAGACATTTTTCAYGGTGGAATCTGACTGATAAAAACTTTGGAGCTTAATCTGGGACCAGTTTGTGGATAAACATCGAGTGAAAAGCCGCTGACTTTTTTTTCCAGCATTGCAAGGAATCCCATGCAGTGACGTATGCTGGAGCAGGAGGGCTTTCCCAGCAGCTAGGCTCCGGATTTCTCGGGGGAACTATGAAAGGTCAATGTGAAAACGAATGCCGAACAATCACGTGACGGCGCGTCGACCGGTCGACAGCTGAGCAACCATACTGCCAGCTTAGCCAGAAGTGTAGCGCCATTTTGTTTTAGCTAGTAGCAGACACGACACGACGGATCTTCGACAGACACGATATTGGACAGTATGCGGGCC